AACTTTGTAAGACTTGACACTTGTGAACATTTAACTTTACTCGAGGACGAGTAAAGAAACTAAGTGTGGGGGAGTTGATAAACATATAACTTCCATGTTTATGTTTATGTTTTTATTAGTTTTTATTGATTGTTACTTTGGAATTTACACACTTTTGGTGTAATAGTTTAGTTTGATAAAATACTTGTAAATTGTTTAGATTAGGTTTATTCTGAGCTCAAACAGGTCCACGGTCACTAAAAGAACAGTTGGTGAACCACAAAAGTGGAAGGCAGGTGCAAAATCACAAAATGAAATAAAGATCCTGATTTTTGGTCTATACCCGGTCGGGTATGACCTATACTCGATCGGGTATCTTGTTGAAATCTCAAATCAAATCGGATCCGAAGACAAAAGAACATGCAAAAAAGATTTGGACCACGATCGAGTGTCTATACCCGATCAGGTACACCGACACACCCGATCGGGTATCCCTTCTGAAATAAACCTGAAATCGATCGAGTATACCTCGGATCTAAGGTTTTAGGCATACTCGATCGGGTACAAGAATATACCCGATCGGGTATGCTTATAGAATTTACTCCTTAATCGATCGAGTATACCTCGAATCTGAAGTATTACACATACCCGATCGGGTACCGTGTATATACCCGATCGGGTACCCGAGCTGCATCCCAAAAAGCCTATAAATACATCCCCTTCCCTTCACAATTAGAACACCAATTCCTTAACAAATGGTGGTTTATGAAACTTTCCCTAACTTTTGTTTTCATTGTAAAATTTATGGGCACCACCCATTTATTTGCAAAAAATTGGCATCAAAAGAACGGGATGAGGCTATTGTTGAAAAGAATGAGGAATTTGTGAATGAGGCTATTCCAATAATACCCAAGGACATAGAAAAAGAAAAGCTACCAATGAAAGAGGTCCAAGAGGGATGCATAGAAAATGGGGTAAGAGATGAGGTTAGAGAAAAGCTCCAGCAAGACACCACTACACCGAATGAATCGGCTGCCATGCCCGAACCAGAGGGGGAAGATGACACAGAAGATGAGGAATCAGATGATGAGTCGAGAGATGAGGAGGAACAGAGAATTCTTGACGAGTACTGGGAAAAAATTACACAATATAAGGAGATGAAGAAAAAGATGGAAGCTGAGCCTGCTCAAATAGGTTTAGGCTAATTTGATACAGATTCCCACTACTAATGGTTGTTTGTTTTTGATTCCTCTGATTAGATGGATATGGGGGATGCCCCATTATTTTGATGATGCATTATATTTAGGTTAGATTTATCTAACTTAGATAGTCTTTTTAGATTTTGTGTGATACATTGTAAAATGTTATTTTTGGGTGTCTTTTATATACTTACATTTCATCCAAAAAAAAAAATAGAACACCAATTCCTTTATACTTCTAAAGCTCAGTTTAGAATAGCATTTCTTTATATTTTTCTAGTATGTTTAGTCTCCAAATGAGGAGCTAAACTTCCATTTCTATGTTTTGCTCTTGAAGCTTGTTGATTATTAAAGTTGTGAGTTATTTTCTTAACTTCTTCTCTTGATTATTAATTCTTCCCTTAATCTCATTATATATTAATGTTGGAGGGTTGCTAAGTGACGATTAGTTAATATTCCGACATTAATTACTACTAGAAACGATCAACGAACCGATGGTTAATCGTTGATGGTTTCATAAGTAAGTAACTTCGGTTTATTAATGCACGGTTGTGGTTAATAAACTTGAGAGGGATCAATTTTGTTGGTTAAACCGAAACCGTTGTGTTAAGGTTATCAATCTCAATTGATTTCATCAAGGAGTTAGAAAGATTAAATGCTACTATTAAATCGGTATAAGGCGTTGTTCTATATTTGATTAATAGTAAGTGTTATTAATGAACTGTCGTTGTTAATAACTACCATCGATGAATTGGATATACTCCTCGATTGAGTATTCGAGAGGGGATAAGTTATAGATATAACAATGATCGACTAAAATATATCAACAAGTGAAAAGTAGCAACGCCAAGTCCCTTTTATTCTTGAATTAAATCTCATATAAGTCATTCATCTTAGTTTTTAATTAAATCAAATCATTCAATCCAAATTCCTCCCTTTACTTACTTCTTAAATTAAAAAGAAAAGTATTCCTTTCCCTGTGGATACGAACTCTACTTCACCTATACTACGTATAAGTGTTAGTATCGATTTATTTTGATGCACCGTGACAAAGTGCTCGTCAAGACCTCAAGAAATATTTGCAATCAGACCTAATGCTCAGCAAGCCTGAGGTCGGTGAAACCCTCATTCTCTATTTGGGGGTCACTCAAAGCGCGGTTAGCTCTGTACTAGTGCGCGAGGAAGGAACCATGCAGAAGCCAGTCTACTACATCAGCAAGGTCCTCCATGGGGCTGATATAAGGTATCCAGCCCTAGAGAAGACCGCACTTGCAGTTTACGTAGCGGCTAAGAATTTGTCACATTACTTCCAAGCTCATCCAATCAAAGTGGTGTTAGATCTGGGAGTTGGCACTTTATTCAGGACGGCGAAGACAACAAAGGTTGTAAAGTGGTCTCTGCTTATCAGCCAATACCAAGTAAGTTTCAAACCTAGAACATCAATCAAAGATCAAGCCTTGGCAGAGTTCCTAGTTGAATGTACTGCTCGGGACGTGTCTAAAGAAAGACGCTGTGAGGAAGAAGATTGGTGGATCCTAATGACTGATGGATCGTCATCACGGTCAAAAGGTTACGGCGGAGGGGTGGTCCTCATCACCCCTGAAGGCTTCAAAACCTATCATGCCCTTAGATACAAGTTCAACTTGTCCAATAATGAAGTGGAATATGAGGCATTGTTGTCCGACCTCGGAATAGCAAGACATTTCAAATTCCAGAAACTAAGGGTCAAAAACGACTCTAAGTTGGTGATCAAACAACTTAGGGGCGAATACGAAGCCAAGGAAGAGCGAATGAAGAAGTACAGGGATACAACCCTGGAACTTATCAAGCAATTTGAGAAATCAGACCTGATGTGTGTCCCGAGAGCCCAAAATGCTGAGGTAGATATTTTGTCAAAGTTAACAGAAGACACTCCTGAACATATCACTCAGATAGCTCGAGTGCAGGAGCTGGACAGGCCTAACATTGAAGTCACTAAAGACCTGGAGATCTTACCTATCGATCAGACTCAAAAATATTGGGTCGAAGAACTGATAGAATACAAGGAGACTCGGACACTGCCCTCAAATGAAGAAAAGGCGAAGTTTGTCACAAGATGAGCTCCAAATTATGTCATTGAAAATGGCAAACTCTACAAAAGAAGCTACAACGGCGTGCTACTCAAATGTTTAAGGCCAGAACAAGCTCAGCAAGTGATCAAGGAATTACATGAAGGAATTACATGTGGAATATATCTCATTGGGTCATTTCCTTCGGGCTCAGGAGGTCGGAAGTTTGTTATGGTAGCAATTGATTACTTCACTAAGTGGGTTGAGGCCGAACCAATGGCCACAATCACTGCAGAACAATGTAAGAGATTCGTTTGGAGGAATATATTCTGCCAATTTGGTGTTCCAATGCAAATCATCACTGACAACGGGAAACAATTTGACTCAGAACCATTCAAACAGTTTTGTGAACAATGGGGAGTTGAGGCTAGCAAAGCATCTATTGCTTATCCACAATGCAACGGGTAAGTGGAAAATGCGAACATGACTATTGTCAGTGGCCTCAAGAGAAAGTTAGAGTCCATGGGAAGCACTTGGGTGAATGAACTCAATAACATACTTTGGGCATATCGCACTACTCCAAGGAAGGCTACTGGTGAAACCCCCTTCGCCCTAACTTATGACTTTGAGGCTCAAGCACCATTGGAAACACTAGTTCCTAGTAAAATGGTGGAAGATTATGACTCTAAGAATAATGAAGAGATGCTAAGAGCAGAACTACACCTAATTGAGGAGAGAAGGGATAATGCATTCATCAGGGTTGAAAACTACAGAAGGCGGGTCAAGGAGTACCATGACGTCAGGGTTAGACCAAGAATGTTTCAGGTCGGGGACCTAGTTCACAGAAGGAGGTCTACTAGCAAACCCTTGGAGGGCGGAAAATTTGCCAAAACCTGGGAAGGGCCTTACAAAATCAAAGGGATCACTAAGCTCGGGACTTACAAGCTATGAACTCCTAAAGGGAAACTGATAGAAAGGGTTTGGAAATCCGAGCACTTGATGAAATTCTACCAGTAGGTTTGTAATTCCGTTTTAATAGATAATTCAATAAAAGTTTGTTTTCTTTCACAAATGTCCTTATAAATCATTTGCGAATGTTTCTTAACCAGCCAAAAAAAGCAAAGCTATGCCTAATTTTGGTACTCGCAAAAAAGCCAAAGTTCAAATTCCAGACTCATCCAAACATTCTAAAGCTCAACTCAGTCTTACCAAAAGACAAGAGCAGGAATACACGACCTTTTTCAAGGTCAAACAGCCTTATAGACAAAATCAAATTTCCTCAAACAGGAAAGGATGACCTTTTTCAAGGCTAAAACTAATTTACAAAGGCTAAAGGATGAATTAAAGGAATTAACTTTGCACCGGAGAGGCCACCAGGCCTCACCAATTAAAGAGGTTTGGTACCAAGGTCTAAGTTACCTAAGGGAAAAACCCACCATGTTTTGGTTCAAACATTGAGAACCTAAGGGTCAAAATTGGTAAAGCTTTCCAAAACGGTTCAGAAATTAAGAGCCTAAGGTAAACAACCTTGACCGGAAAATCAAGGCCTAAACTATAAGGACAAAGTGATTGAAAATAAACTTATTGATCCAACAAACATGGCCAGACCTTAAGGTCATCCCAAAGCTCCCAGATCAAGAAAAATTCTTGAACAAAGGGCAGACTTCCTTGAGGAATCAACAAGGATGTAAGGCAGCCTAAATCAAGGTTGGGCAACATCGACTACACCCAAAGAGGTCAAGCAAGCAAGTAATCTACTTCAAACGCACAGATAAAGGCAAAACATGGTCATGCATATATGTGCAAGGAGTTAAAGTGCAGAAAGTAAAGATGTTTGTTACAAACCACCCTGAAGGTGAAAAAACACATCAAGCACGCAGGCTTGGAAGAGACTGATTGTTAAGGAAAAATAAAACAGGCATTATCAGGGTGTCGGGGCGCCCCCCTAACTGCCACCTTCGGAGTCTGATCCATCAACCTTCTACAACTCTTCTAATCTTGGGATCTCCTCCTTACAGGCAAGGAAACGACCTGGAGTACTAGCCTCATTCCAGCCTCCCTCGTCACAAGAAGCTAGAGGTCGGCAGCCTGCGTTGCAAGAGTCACATCGTCGCTTCCTTGTTGCTCCCGATCAGGCTACTTCTCAATCCCCTAAGGCAGATCAAATCATGGTAAAAAATAGCTACCAAGGAACAAGAAAAGGAGGAACTTATAGCAAAAATGGATGCTACCAACCTGGGGAAACGTGAGCACGACCTTCCCATCATCATCCATACGGTGGCCCAGCAGGTAGGGCGAGCCCATATCAAGAAGGCCGGCAGCATACTCAGTTCCCCTGTTGAGTAAGGGCACGTCCCATCAGCAGATGAGCTCTCCCCATCTATTGACAAACGGCAATTCACCATTTGTCGGGGTTATCCACACCCACTTTTGTTCCCAATTTTGATGAGATCGGGGCAGGGTGGAACCTCGAACAAATGGTGGCCGAGCCTGCACAATGAAGCCCTTAGCTGCGTAGGCGCCAGATCGAGCCGCGTAGAAGAAATGTCGGAAGATGTTCATGTTCAACAAAATCCTCAGGTGCACACACTGGGCCATGAACCCGGCCAGGAAGAGATGTGCCACCGTGGCAAGTTGACCAGGAACGAGGTCATAATAGGAAAGAACATGTAGCACAAAAGGGTGAAGAGGAAGCATGAGTCCCATCCGCAGGCTGGATAAGTGAACCCCGAAGTGAAGAGGAGAAGGAGGATCCACAATATTCTGGCCAGGGGTGGGGTGTGAGCAGATCACGTTGGGACCAGCAAGGGCGACGACGGTCTTGAATTCCTCGTCCGAAATGGCTAGAGCGGGAATAACGCACGCTCGACTGGCTGGAAGGTAAAAATGAGTTTCAGAGTCGGTAAGAGGTCTAGAAACGGAGGAAGGGTTAGATGAAGACATGGCAAGTTCGTCTTTTGTTTAAAGGATTCAAGGAATGCTAGAAATGCCAGAAGAATTGTGAAGAAGAAAGTGTTTGCTTTTATAGTAGAACCCTAAAACGCCTCGGAAGCGTTGGAACCGCTTGGGAACCGTATCGAAAAATGTTTCAAAACCGCCTGGGAAAACTGCATCAAGGCATTCGAACAGTTGGAGAGATGAAAAGCTGGATTGGAAAATGAGCCTGGCTGCAGGCCTACTTCGGCGCAATGAATGCTAGGCAGCGCTACAGTTGCCTATGAAAGATTCGAAATTCAAAATCTGGTAAACCGCATCATTGAGGAGTACGGGGCTCGTGATGGTACCATTTATCACAACCATGGCCCAAGATTGAATTAAAGCAAAGCCCATCAGTGGGATCAGCCCATCAACGGGATCAGCCCATCAACGGGATCAACCCATCAACGGGATCAACCCTTAACGGGATTAGCCTAATTAACAGGATTAGCCCATAACGGGATTAGCCCTTAACGGGATTAGCCCTTAACGGGATTAGCCCATAAACGAGATTAATGTTCGAATATGCCGCCAGGCCCAAATGGGATTAAGCTCACAATAGGAACCCACAGCCAGGCCGAGCTGCACAGCAGACCTCGAGCCTGGGCAGAGTTCTAGTGAGGCCGGGATATCCCTTGGGTTACGTGGCAAGCAGTTATTCGGCATGGTTATTTGGCATAGGCTGGACTCGTCCAGAGTTTGGAAACAAGAAGGAGACAATTAATGCTTGACATCGAAGACATGAGAGGAGTTCTATTTCGAGCAAGAATATAGTTCATTAATTAACATTTATTGTATGAGATTCCTCCTAAAATCTATAAATACTTCTTGTAAACACCCTACCAGGGGATCCGCGGTTAGTCCTTCGGAATAAGAGTATACTGCCTTACGCTGCCATATTCTTTCATACTTTTCATACGTTTCTCATACCTTTTGGTAGATTTGGCTCTCGTAGTTGGATTAAACTCTATCAATTAGCATTAGATTTTGATTATAATTAAGGAGGCCGTTTGGTGACACTGTTTACCGGCTTATCAGTCAATTTTTCATACTTTTGATTTGATGCCCTGAATTGTGCAATAATAAAAAGATAAGACTAAGGTTACTTTATTTATTGTATTGTATAAAGTTACGGTAGATGATTATTTTAGTTATTTTTCATATATTTTTTATTTATATTATTTGATATATAGGAGTAATTTTTTTATAAGTCAACAATATCCGTCAATCGAGTCACTTCAGCTAGAACTTCACAAATTTCACCAGAATCAATCGATTCAATCAATTTCAATGTTATCAAACGGGGTACGAGCGACAGAAGTTGAAACATAACTAGTGGTTAAACATAGTCCTGGTCTTATAAAATCGGATCACAATTCCTTGGATCAGACGTTCAGAACCGATTTAGTTCAATTTTCTAAATGATCAAATATTTTGGTTTGGGATATGAATCATAATTTTTAGATTTGGCGACTATAAAGTATAAACGGTCTACCATAGTATAGCACACGTTGGTGGAGTATATCCAAATCTTAACAGCTGCAAGCGATTTGTGAAAAAAACATAGAGCCATAGAGTATACGTGTGTGGTGTGTAATATCTCTGGTAGCTCTTGCTTTCCCTTTTTTATTGACCAAATCAGCCATCAGAACCAAACGAAACATAAAATTTGTCGTTCATATGAAAAATTCCTATATAATCAATCAGTTCAAAGAGATACTATTTTTCTTCAAAAGTCACAATAGAATGGGTTACTCAGAAATCTAAAACTCTAATTAATTGATGATAAACAAAATCTAATTAATTGAAGAATAAGATGTTTTTAATTGGACCAAACTTTTATGGTATGGTCATATTGGATGTGGTATAAATTGATATGGCCAGGTTTGGTCTAATTTGGTAGATGTATGATTTTGTACATTTTATAACTGTTCAATTCTAATTTGGTCTGATCTAATCTAATCTAAATTGGTTTGGTTTGGTTTAATAGATGTATAGTCTTTCTGTATTTTATAATTGTTCAAATCTCATTTTGTCTGCTCTAATTTGAAAACAATCCAAATAAAAACATGTTGAGTATCTCATTTTTTAAGGAAAAGAGGTTAAATAAGTCTTTCTTCTATTTTCAATTCGTCATTTAAGCTCTTGTACTAAAAAAGTACTCCGTATCATCTTTACAAAATTGATCAATTTGACTTGTATTAATATTTAAGAATTTTAAAAATTGTTAAAAAATGAAGAAATATATACAAAATTGTGAAAATTTCATAATATCAAAGTCAATATTTTTTAATTTTTAAAATTATTTGTATATTATAAATCTATTCAAAAAGTCTTTAATTTTTTTATTTTTTATTTTCTATTTATTTTTTTCCAGTTTTATGATTTTTTTTATTTTTATTTAGTTTTAATGTTTTAACAATTTTGTATAGTTTACATTTATACTATTTTGTATATTATTATTAGATTATTTATTCCTTTTTATATGATTTTTTGTAAGATTTATCAATACTCCTAATTTCATACTTCCTCCGGTCCCGAATCAAATTCACACTTTGGTTTTACGGTAGATTACACTATTGTGACACTGTTTGGCACTGTTTGACACTGTTTTGCACTGTTTGACACTATTTTGATGTGGAGAATTTACCAAATAAGGAAGTGAGAAGAAATGTGGATTTTATTTTGGACCTATCCAAAAATGAAAGTGTGAATTTGATTCGGAACCGGAAGGAGTATCTAAGTAGAAGGATTTAAGTGATGATTCAAAATTCTATGAGAATGTATTTGACCATTTTTTTTCTTTTTTTTTTAAATAACCGTTATGGTCCCAAAATAAAAGGTTTTTTTTAGCATCTGAAACTTAGGCGTGAGTTCGCTGAACTTTTTGCGTGCATAATTTTTCTACCCAAACAGTTTTTTTTAATAGTATTTTTTGTTCTTAACAGAGAAGGGTGAGATCAATATTAATATACGGAGTAGATAAGAATCATAAGATACGGATAAAGAATATTTGCCTTGAAATAAAAAAAAAATGTACAAACCTGAGCCGAGGAAATTATACGCTCGTAATAAGTTAAATGTGTCTTTTCGATATTAAAATTCTAATGGCCGTAGTCTGTACAGCTGTACGGTTAGGGGATGGGCCAACACGGAATCCGATCGATATATATATCCACGGACCGCTCCCTGTAATCCCTCGCCACTTCATTAATCACGCCGGAGACAATTAATTACAGATAAGCTACCGCCAATCAACGGAAAAAATGTCAGCTTCCGGCAAAATCCGCCACATTGTGAGGCTCCGTGAAATGCTACGGCAGTGGCGGAAGAAGGCCGCCGCCACCACTGCCCGCGGCCGCGTCCCGCCTGATGTGCCGACGGGGCACGTGGCTGTCACCGTCGGTAGCAGCTGCAAGCGATTTGTGGTGCGCGCCACGCACCTGAACCATCCCGTCTTCGCGAAGCTTCTAGAGAAGGCGGAGGAAGAGTACGGATTCACGAATTCCGGCCCGCTATTCATTCCCTGTGACGAGTCGTTGTTCGAAGAAGTTCTCCGGTACATTTCCCGGCCCCAATCTAACAGCGAATCTGATCGGCACATGAATTTTGCGGCGCTTCAGCGGCCGTGTTCCGTCGGCGTTCGGAGCAACTTGCAAATATGGGATTCGCGGCCCGGCCGCCCCCTTTTGCACGGCGTCTAATCCTTCAATTGGTTAAGGAAGAGTCGGATTTAGCTACCTGGAGTGTTAGATTGGCTCCTAAACCTAATCGATTTCGAATCTAGTGTTTCTTCATTTGTGTTATTTAGTTTAATATTTATTTGATTTTTCACAGTAAATGCCAAATCTCATCCGGAATATTGCCGGAGATGGCTATGTAGTCGTCCCATTTTCGGCTCAAAACTACGTCACAACTTCATGAATGGAACCGTTTTTGTCTTCTCCATTTTCAATATTACTCCCACTTTCCAATATGTTCGAAGAATATACTTCTCTCCCATTTTAGTTAGTCAATGATGTTAATCTTTAATAATATGTAAGAATGTAATTATAATATAAAAATGTTTTTGTTGAAAATTCTATCACAAAAGGATAACATTATTACATTTTGCATAAATATAATGATCAAATCTATATAATTTTATATGTTAATGTTATTTAAATGCGAGCTTATATCAAATGATGATCATTGTAGCCTAGTAGTTCTTGTACTACGATATTTTTTTAAGTAAAACACACACAAATTGATGACATAGAATGACTTTAAAAGTAACTTTAAAAGTTTAAAGGTACCTTGTTTGGGAAATAAGTTTTAGAACTATCCTGGGAAAAAAACTCTACAATTGGAAGACAAGACAACCAATCATGATCCATTTTTTAGGGTTTTAATTTTAATGACTTTTGGCATCTTGGTTCAAACGGTGATAGGAAAAAAAACATTGCCATTCTTTGATCGCAAAAATCAAAGTTAGCTTTTTTAAAAGGAACGGAGGTAGGATTAATTAGAGCATTTTCAACGAATTAGTGGTTAGCTAATTTCTCTTATGCTCTGTATTACTTATTTGTTTACCTTTATTTATAGTTAACTTTTTTCAATATTGTATCATCAACTTCAATAAGAAACATATCATCTTATGTGATATTTTAAAGAATAATCATTAGATATTTTATTAGGATGGGTTTTAAATTTAGACGAGTTATAACTGCATCAGATAATAGTAGATCATATCACTCAGACCCCTTCTACAGACAAACTATATGAACTAGACAAGACTTAAATATCGATGAACTACATATAATATTAAATTTTATGTGACTTAAATAATGTATAGTTATATAGTCAGAACCCATATGCTTAAACAAAAGAGTGAGCTACTCCATCTTTTGTAGACATCAGCCCCTACTTTCTAGCATTTGTACTATTCAAAAGGTCTTTAAAAGTTTAAAAGTGTATGTTTGATATGATAGTTTTAAAAAAGTTTCCTCAATTTTTTTAGATGTACAACGAGTAACATTTAACATTAAATTAGTCACAACAACTTGTATACCTAACGAAGTAAAACCAAGTGATCAGCTTTTTATCAAACAACTACGTTTTTTTCTTTTAAAATCTATTTAGTCACTAAAAATTAACATTTATTAAAAATTCGCAAAAATATTCTTAGCTATTTGTGCCAAACATAACATACATATGTTTAGACCTGTTCAAACATAAAAAGTGGAAATGAAAAGATCTATAATCTGTTTACGGATTAGAAGTCAATGCGAAATTTAGTGAAGATATTAAGGACTGTGTCGCGTTGTTAGCAATGAATCCGTACTATAATTTGGAGGACTTTCAAATCCGTGTCTCGCGTGCCGGGGGAATTAATGGAGCGCTGAAACTTTTTTGCATCCATAATTGCTAATTTGTAATTGAAAAGATGGAGCCATAATATAACATAGCTGGCGCGGATTAAATGTCTAGTCCCCTCTTACTCCATAAATAAAGATTTCGTATATGGAAAATTCTATTGTGCCTTTGTTTAAAATGTTAAAAACTGTGTTTTACGATTATAAGCCTTCTCTTAAAACTTGCTATTCGCTATTTAATTTCTTACACATTTTTTCCAACACTTTATAACATTGTTCTCATATGACTCGAGTTGTGATAACGGTTAGATTAACGTATTGATGTTGATATATGCAAAAAATGGACCATTAGATTATATTTTAGCGGCATCTATGAGCATCCATCTCTCCACACATACCAATTCGGTGAGAATTATTGTTCCCAATAAAAAATGAGAATTGTGCAAACAATGCACATTTGATTTATGGCCGTATGTTTGAGCCAGGTATTGCAAAATTTACAG